TTCCTTCCCTTTCCTCTTGTCTGCTTTCTTCACAATCTTCACTGCAGGTGAAGCTCTGGCTGCCAGGAACTGGTTCTGAAAGCGCAGCAGGTCTGCCTCGGACTCCCCGGGCTTTGGTCTCGACAGCATCCTGCCTTCTGGCTCTCGCAGCCCAGCCACGTGCTTTGCACGTAGGGCTCGAACACATGGAAAACGGGTAACAGAACCGGATTTCCTGGAGACAGGATGGGGACAGCACAGGAAAGCTACTCATTTTTGTCCCACTGTTAGGCTTCTGTACATACCACAGAGCCCCTGCTTCAGGATCCCCCGAACACAAACACTTAAATGGGAGTCCCACACGAACAAAACCCTGTTCTGCACAGCTGAACAAAAGACTGACCACTTGACAAGTCTGCACAAGGTCTGACAGCCAGCTAGGAGCAGAACGGCATCCAGCCAGCAAAAAGACAGACAAAAAGTGCATCACTGCCAGAATGCCAACAACACGGCCTGGGATTTGCAAAGTCAGAGTAACATCTTGTCCATGACAACAGATTTGAGTTGCTCAATTATCAAAGCCAACCAAGAATCTCAGAGGCACAGTGTCACATAAACTCCCCCACCAGCATACCATCTCTCCCAGATCCCAGCACTAACATCCCTGGCAGGATGCAGGAGACTGTCCACACAGAGCTGGACAATGCACTCCCTGACTCTGTTTGCTCTCCTCACTCAGATCTCCCAAGTGGAAAATGTCTTTCTTCCTCACATGGACCTCCTGTTCTCATTCTCTTTCATTGGCCACTTATTGGCAGAAGCTCTGCTATTTCCAAGCATCTTCATTCACTGCCCAGGCCAATTTGGGGCTCAAAAACAACAGTGAGATTTATACAGACTTTTTTACACTGTGCATATGACAATTCCCCAGGAAGGCAACTACTCCACCTCCCATCTACCAGATAGGAAAACACTGGTGACTCTTGCTCCCCACCTGATTCCCAGAGCCTGGAACCAGCAATCCGCTTCTCTCGGGCAGCAAAAACACTGTTTGCAAATACATTTCATTGTACTCCTAGCATAAGCACACACCTACTTGCTGTTTATTTATGGAGCTTGCTGCCACAACAGGGCTCCCACAGCCAGACTTCACTTGCTTGGACCCTCTTTGACATCCATAAGGAGCAGAACACGCAGCCCAAGCCAAGTGTTCCCTGCCCTGTCATCGCAGCCTTCAAAGCCCAAAAGAGGAGGGTGCCTGCTTCAACAGGCACAAAACACACATTGGAAGCAAACACTGCTGCTAAGCTTTCTGCAAGATGCCTCCTCCACACAGAACTCTACATAAACTTGTCCAAGCCTCTGCCTACCAAAACTTAATCAGGAAATACAGCGTGTCTTCAAACTGCCTTTGTTTCTCGGGAAAACTGTCAGCACAAGAAGACAACCAAGCAGCCACTGGTAATGAGGCTGGATGTTCTTCCAGGAGCCCTTCCCTCAGCCTTTGCTTCCATACATGTGGGACCTGCAGACAAAAGGAATGCAGGGAAAACTCTTTGCTTTCTTCTCAGGGCACCTTACATCCCCAACACTCCCACGGCTGTCAGGAGTCCTCACTCCTACCCACCAGAGCTCAGAGACACAGAACAACTAACAAACTCCTGAGGACCAGCACTAACCCCAGCATCCTGCAGCCTGGTCACCTCCAGCCTTGCAACTCACCAGAGCTCACCATCTGTTTGCCCAGAGGGACCTGCAGCCAGCCAGCAAAAGCAACACACTGACATACTGTCCTGGGAACACAGGCAAGGGATCACAAATGCTGTCCAAGGTCTGTGAGCACCTCTGAACTCCACTACACAGTGATTGCTGTGTGGACACACTATCATCTTACTTGATAAAATCCAGCACTGGTAGGCTTTTTAATTTGTTCTGGTAACATCTATGAACCAGACACAGTCAAAAGATGTATATGTTGAAGTGAAAAAAATACTCTCTGGCTGTTACTGTCATCTGTGAACTCTGGGGAAGGCCTTTTTACCAATTCTCAAGTCCACAGCTTTGCATTATTTTGATAAAGTTATCAGATTTGGGAGAAAGAAGAATAAAAGGTCCTCCTATCACAATTAGTGCCTCAAATTAACCACTATCTTCAGACCTTGTTGGCTGTGGTAAGAATTTAAAAGGAGAAGCAGAGATTCAAATCTCAGTCTCTTCTGGGCAGCCCAGCAGCCAGCAGAAAAGCACAATTTCCCCACTTGAGATCAGCAGGCAATGAAAGCCTCACTCAGGATTATTGGCTCCTTTACAAAACGGTGATGTGCATTCTCAGCTCTGTCACAAAAAAAACTTTCTGCACACAATGCTGTAATGGGAAACAGCCTTCTTGACACTTTTACTTGCTACAGAGAAGGCAGACACTGGAAGGACACTCCTCACAGATTAAAAAGCCCAGCCACAAGAGTCAACAGCTGCAAGAAACTCTCCTCAAAGAGGCTCCACACCTCACGCTGGTCACACAGGACTCAGTGACTCTGCCTGTGGGGCACACACCGTGTGCGTGCACACAGCACCTTGCCAACAGAAACGCTGCTGTCCCAGCTTGTCTCCAGAGTCTCTGCAATGAACAGGAACCAGAACAGCGCAAAATAAAATGAAAAACAACAAGTTGCTATAAACACACAGAAGAGCTGATGCGTGCCAGCGTTCCCACCGCGTTCACAGCCCTCACGGACTTTCACCAACGACTTTGGATCAAATCTCAAACAGCCGACGGAGACTCGGCCTGGCAAGGCCTCTCTGACGGGGGCAGGGAGGGAAGGAGAGAGGGAGGGAGGCACACAGCGGCACAGATCCCGCAGCATCCCCTGCGCGGCGGCCACGGCACCGGGGGCCGCGCGGCGCCAGCAGCCGCGCTCCTCTTTACACCGGAGTAAAGACCAAGTGCTGGGCCCCTGCCGGCTACACCGAGCGGGGCCGGGCCGTGCCGCTCCCGCGGGCAGCAGAGGCCCCGCTGCCGCCACGGCCCGGCCGCACTCACCTGCGGCACCGCCGCTCCCGCGCTTCCGCCCCGCGGCGGCGCTTCCGCCCGGCCGCCGTCACTTCCGCCCGGCCCGCGGCTCCCGCAGGGACATCCCGGCTCCCGCAGGGACATCCCGCCGCCCGGCCGCGGCTGTGGGCTCGGCTGTGCTTGTGCGGCCCGGGCAGCGCCGCCGGGCTTCTCCCGCCCCAGAGTCCGGCCTCCTGCACCACAGCCGGGGTCTGCACACAGAAACATCGGTGCCCGCGCAGGAGCTGAGCCTTGGCATTAGCGCAGCCCGAGAGCCGAGGTGTTCGGGAGAGCAGATGCAGAAAGCTCTGTGAACGTGGCTGGCATTCATTATTCGTGACTGATTATTTGTAATGCGTGCCAAGCTTCATTAGAAACTATGCGAGATCTGTCAGAACTTGTGGAAGATTTGATTTTAATGTTGGTTATTGATTTTAGAGCTTGGTCAACTTTCAGCTTTTTTTACAGAACAAGTCATTTTTGGAAGGCACGGCAGTTGGTCATCTGGTCGAACCCCCTGCTCAAGCATGGTCATTGTAGAGCACAGGATTGCATCCAGGTTCTTGAATATCTCCAGTGAGGGAGATTCCACAACCTCTCTGGACAACCTGTTCAGTGCCCGCTCACAGGCACAATAAAGAAGTTCTTTTCCATGTGCACATGGAATTTCCTGTGCATCAGTTTCTGCCCCTTCTCTATTTGTGCTATTTTTTGGCACCATCAGTAAGGGCCCTGCTCCATCTTCTGACACCCTCCCTTGAGATACCAGTAGGCACTGGTGAGGTGAATAAAGATGATAGACCTGGGAAAAGAATTCTCTGACCATGAGAACAGGCACAGACTCTCACTGGAGCTTGGACTGGCCAGGTGGGCTCACTGTTTGGGAAGGACTCACCACAAAGTGCCCTGATCCTGTAAAAAATTAAGCACTTTTTCAGTGTTTGGGGTTTTGGGTTTTTTTTAATATACCTTTAGAAAGCTGCAATACTACTGAAAAATTACAGCCAGAAACAAATGTCATCCTTTACAACCACTGAAAGCTCTTAAATCTGTAGATTTCTGTTCATCTTCAGGCCACGCATGAGAGCACCACTGGGTTCACAGAAGGGTGGGGCAGATGCAGTGCTGCCAGTAGAAGACTTCTCCCTCCCCCTCTGAGGCTTTCCTGGGGCTGAACTTGGGAATGGTTTCCCGTGCACCCCAGGTGCACAGTCCAGTTCTCCCAGCTGGACACTAAGGCAGGGAGGCCGTGGCACTGCTTGCCTTGGAATGTGTTTGGGTGAAGCGTTGGAGCTGTTTATGCTGTCTGACAACTGCTTATGGTTCTGGTTCAAGACAGCCATGAGCATTTTCCCTCCCTGACTCCTCTCTCTGGCTGCACGGCTTCTGTGGCCCCACACAGAGTCTCTTAGCATGCAGGTGAATGAGGAAACAATCCTTTTTGCCAGAAAGACATACAAATAGAATATATTTGATTTTAATTACTGCAAGGCATGAATGCTTCCCATCAAAGCTGTCAGAGTTGTATGTATCTTTCCTTCATTCCATTAATTATTTACCTTCAGTTTTAATAATACAGTTAAGGGCACTATATATAGCTTCTGCTCTATCAATAAATCATGCTTGTGTGTCTTCATATTTATCCTAGAAAATCATAAGTACCAACATGCTTCCATGGTTTTGCTAAGCAATTCTGGCAACGGAATTCCCATCAGTGCATGTCTTGGAGTCTTTGGTGGTGAACTCAAATATTCCTCACTCAATGAGAGCTATTTTATGAGACTTTTTATGAGGTTTTTTTGTATTTTATGAGCTCACCAGTCTTTTCACAAATCCCAACAATCTCCTTCATCCCGTTCTTATAGCTCTGTGCTGATTTAAAACCCAGAGGGAATATTAAACCTACTTGAGCTGCTCCCTTTTCCCTGCCCCTTTCCAGCAGTGGAGGAAACACTAGGAGAGATTATAAATTGGAAACACAGTTTACTGAAAAATTGCAATAACCACAACAATATTAATAAAAGAGTGTACAAAAGAGAGAATCTTTTACCCACAAAAGGGTATTCACCACCAAACAAACAAAAACACTTCCCAAAGGCCACATCCAGTGTGGTTTTCCAAGACTAAGGCAAGATGATGGCTGGCCCTGTGCTGGGCAGCATGGAGTGTATGGCAATACAAAAGCAGAATGTTGGAAGGGCTTGCAATTTAACTTCCCCCCCTCAAACTGAAAACAGTGGAAGAACAGGGCCAAGGCAAAACCTGGTGGGACCTGACAGGGCTCTGAAGCAGGTCAGAGAACCCTCTTCCTGGGCCTGACTTGTAGGAGCAGGACTGGAGAGCTTGGCGATTCCGGCAGCAGCTCCAGTGGCTGCTGTCACTGCAGCTGCAGCCTGGGCTCCACATGGCTCAGCTGGGCTCTGCCATGCTGCTGCTTTCCTTGGTGCTCTTTTTCTCAGAGCAGCTCACCAGCGCTGTCTTTGAGCACCAAACCAGAAAAGCCACATCCCCGAGCATAGCAAAAGATGGGCACCCTTCCACTTCCAGCCCCTGATTTCTTCTTGCTCCAACCACATTCTTGCCATGGCACAAATAGTATGGAATTATACAGTGCTAGAAATTTTATCCCTTTCCTCTATAACCATAATGAACTCATCATAGTTTGACATGACCTATAGTCCATAGTTTGACACTGACCTATCATCAAACCCAAGAATCCACGCAGTATCATAAGGTCAATGCACACAAGCCACCTTCCCCATCCCATAAATCCAAGGCACTTTAGTACATGTGATCCACAATTCAGGCTCAGTCCATCAAACTAGTCCTTCAGTTGCATTGCTTGAAACAGTTCTCCCGTTTGCTCAGCAATCTCCTTCATCTTCTGACGTGCCTCTTCTATGGTGGTGGTGGCGTTATGGACAGTGACACAGCATTCTCCATCCGTTAGGTTTAGCATTCCACACACTCCCTTCTCCTTCAACAACAACATATCTATGGCCAGCTGGTTCTGCAAAGCCACTTCTGGTGCCTGTGGGGCCTGCACGTTCGGTTCCCTGAGTGAACGTCCGGTCCAGTTGCTCAACACATGGACTTGCCTAGATAAGTTCTCCAAGACATACTTGTGCCGTTGGACAACTCCACTGGACACAAAAAATGATTCTAAGTCTAAAGCAACATTTTGTCCCCAGGTGTAATAGTCAGGGACTTGAATCCCCCGAATCCACTCTTTTGCATCTGTTGGATTGTGGATTTCTCTCCGCACTTTGTTGTTACGGTAAAGTGTATAATTGAACGTTTTAGATGGACACATGGTAGGAAACCCGATAGTACACTGGAGTCCAGCCATATCATACATGTTCAAGTGGGAATACATTCTCCCATCTGAACATGCCCATACCGTTCCCCGTGGAGCTGGGTATTTGGCTTGTGAACACTGATACAGGTCACCTTGGGGAACTTCCTGTGCTTCGCTACTGGAATTCCAGACCCTTCTTCGGTCAGGGCCGTGTGTAACGGGAATGCCACAGGATAGTGCTGTCTCTGAATTTTCATAAGACCCATTGCATCGGGTGTCTTGGTTTAGATAGCCGTAGTTGGGGTAATCCCAACAGGTACACATGTCCCGGATAAAAGTTCTCAGCTCCGAGATGTACCAGGTTTCTATGGGCTCACCTGCTCCTGTGGTGCAATCCAATATACGGGAACAATTCAGAAAGGAGGTCTCTGATTTGCTTTGAGTAAGGCTTCTACGGTTCCTCACTTTCCAGCAGATGCTCTCTCCATTAGGTAGTGTGGTCTGATGGTCCTTACAGTCTGATTTCTCCACTTCCCATTCTACTATTTTCCCTGTAGGGACCCTGGAAGCCCATTGTAGGGTAGATATAGGGTCAAAGATTTGTTTCAGAGACCAGGCCCACTCATAATTTGTTCGGTTAACTTGGTGCGCAGTTCCTGGGTTATCAGGGATTTGTATACACCATCCTGCATCCCAACGCAAACTGTACTCATGTTCAAAAAACCCACCCTCAGCAGGAGAATCCCACCACGGTACCACCGTGCAAGGGATAGAAGTGACATTTTGCAGTGTCTCAGCAGGGTTGGTGTCTAATGACCGATAGCATGTCTGATTCCATAAATCGCTCCAGGTAGAGTCACGTGGGAGCTGGTAAAAGGCGTTCTTGTATTCTACCCACGTCCCATTTGCATCCCACTGTTGTCCTTCTTTCTGGTCTAGGAACTGGGACTCCACCATCGCCCAGGTAACATTTCGTCCTGGCTTTTTAAGATTATCCAGTTCTCTTGTTAATATTTCTGAAAAATTTAACCAAATCATCATAAATCTAAACCCCTCTGATGCAGAGTTGGGGAGGTTAATACATATTCCTTGATTTGTATGATTCCAAATATGCATAAATCCTTGTATCAACTCCCAAGCTAAATTTGGTTCAGTACTCTGATTTTCAGTTGCTTGAGACAAAGTCATACATCCATAACATAAGAGTAAAAACTTTTCCCACACCATTTTTTTTGCTAGTGAAAAGGCAAAATAGGCTTGGCAAAATAGGCTTAGCGCAATCAAACTAAAAAATACACAAAATGATCCATCCACTCAACAGTTGAAAGCATAGGTCCAGCAGTGGATTTCAGATAATCTGTAAAACATATACATGCATAAAAACAAAACATGATTAAAAGGAGGAAACAATCCACCACCTGGCACACAAGTTAAGTGGCTTTTTTAAGGTCAGGGGTACCAATCCCACTCTTGGTAATTCTGCCAAAACAAGTTGTTCTAAGCAATAGAGCAGACTTCTCAGATAATCTGTAAAACATATACATGCATAAAAACAAAACATGATTAAAAGGAGGAAACAATCCACCACCTGGCACACAAGTTAAGTGGCTTTTTTAAGGTCAGGGGTACCAATCCCACTCTTGGTAATTCTGCCAAAACCAGTTGGTCTAAGTAATAGAGCAGACTTTGTATTTTATATATATATATATAACTAATGCAGGGTCTTTAGTTTCTTTTGTTCCAGGGAGTATGTGTGGGGATGAAGACAAAAGGCTGTGAGTTATGGGCACCCATTAACTCCCCAGAAGCTACTGACTCTATGTACCCCATCTGACACCCTCTTGCCCATTCAGGTTCATGATGTCTCAAGTTCCTCTTCAAGAGTCCAATGGTGCATTCAACAACCTCATTTGCCAGGGGGTAGTATGGAGTGTGAAAGATCCACCAGATTCCTTCATCCTGTGCCCATTCTTGAACCACGCTGGTGGGGGAGGATGGATTTTAGGAGAATAGAGAGTGTGCTGAAGGCAATCTTGCCCCTGAGCAGTTGCAGCTGTACTAATTACCAAAGAGTAGGAACAGCCCTGCCCTTACAGGCCATGGCTATGTCCAATAAGGATGGGTGTTATAAAAGAGTGGGTTAGGTGACTGAGAAGAGAGTGGGAGTTTTTTGGCTGTGCTGTGAGGAGGAAGGGGTAGGTGGTTGTGCAAGAGACAGTAAGGGTTGGGCAGTGATGTAAGGGGTAGGAAGGAGTCAGTTGGCTGTGCAGAAGAAAAGGAAAAAGGAGTCAGTAGTGCAAGAAGCTGTCCCTGGGGATTCACAGAGAGAAGGTATGAAAGTTTTACAGTAAGATAATAAACTGGTGCCAAGCACTGATACCAAAAATTGGTAGCCCATACAGGGGTGAGTCCTGGCAGAAAAGCAACTACTGTTGGATTGGAGGGACTGGGGCCATGGCAGATAATGAAACCACAGCTTCAGTCCCTTTACAGTGCTGTGCCCTGCTGCTCTTGCTACTGTCTTAGCTTGAGTGAGCTCTGACATTACTTCCACCCTGACTTCAGGAAAGGCCCTCTATAGTCCACCTGGCAGGTCTCCCAGAGGCCTTTTCCATGTCCTTAGTGAAGGGATGCCTCCTGCAAGGGGTGTTGTTTCTCTAGCCCTGTACAACGCTGGCCACAGACTGAGATGACAGTGTTGCACAGTTCCCAAGTGACAGGCCACCCTGTGTTACCAACTCCCTTAAAAAGATCCTTAAATCCTGAATGGTCTCCCTTGACATGTAACTACTCTAGCAGATGTTTCCATTTTTTCCATTCTCCCTTTACTGTGATATCTACTACACAGGTCAATGAATCTACCTGATTATTCAACAGGTGAGCCACGTTATCCCTCTTCTGGTGGGCAGGATTCCATCCCACCGAGAAACACTTTTGCTTAACAAGTTTAGGATGTCTTCCCATTTCTCTCAGTGCCATACTGGCAACTCAAAAGATCCCCCACTGTTTTTGTTTGCAAAATGGGAGTCAATTGGTGCATCCCTTAAAACAGCATAGGGGTTTGTATAAAGAAACACTGGTTCTTTAGTGCCAGCCTCTAACAATCACCCTGCTACCGATCTACCTACCCACCCTGCTAACAGTCACATGGGTACCAATTCTCCTATCTGAGCACTTTCTTGTCCCCTTGTCACAATTCTGTCCCCTGAATCAACAGGCAGGAACACTGCTCAGTATATTCCTCTCTTTTGGAGGATGCCTCAGTGAACCACACACTTCTCAGGTGGGGCTTAACTCGAGGGGTAAGTTTTGTATAAGAAGGGAGGCCCCTGGTCCAGCAGACTGCCAGGCAATTCCTGTATTTGGACCACTCTGGGTGCTCCCTCCTCTATCTGAGGCATATGGCAGTGATGATGCAACTGTTCATACCACCTTCAAACTGCTTCTCCCTGCACAACCCCCACACCAGGTGGTGTTCTGGCCAGTACGAGTTTCAAGACCTTGAAAGGTCCCACTAGAATAACTGGTTTCTGCTGTATGACTTTTTCAGCTCCCTGCAGAGCTAGATTGGCCACAGAGGCACTTCTAGCAAACTGATTAAAATTTTTTTGCATCTTTAGAGCTGTGCAAATAAAACCTGACAGGGCAAGTTGGACCCTCATGTCTCCATTGCCACACGTGTTGATAATCCATGAATTGCAAAGCCCCATTCAATATGAAATGGATGCATTGGTCCTAAAACCTGATATAACCCAGCATCAAATATTAACACTTTAAAGATTTCTGCATGGAGAGAGATCCAGTCACAGGTGATCCTCTGGTGTGTTAAATCATGATGAGGATGGGCTATGATGGAGAAAGCCAGAATGTGTTTTCTCCAAATTACCAGCAGGACAAGGGCACGTTGTAGCTCCTTCTTCTATCCAGGAATTTCAATTTGCTCAAGTCAAGGTTTTGGGGTGAACGCACACTGTTTTTCCCCTCCACCATACTCCCAGAAGCTTTACTTCAGAAGATGGAGTTTGCACCTTTGCTGCTGAAATTTGAAAACCTGAATTTTCAGGGTGACTAATTATCTCTGTTTGAGTTTGCCTTACAATCTGGCACTGGGGCTGCCCACCAATATATTGTGAACGTAGTGATCTGCTTTAACTCCCTCCATAGGCATCACTACAGAGCATGCCATCTCCCCCAGATCCCAGCACTAATCCCTGGCAGGATGCAGGAGACTGTCCACATAGAGCTGGACAATGCACTCCCTGACTCTGTTTGCACTCCTCACTCAGATCTCCCAAGTGGAAAATATCTTTCTTCTCCATGTGGACCTCCTGTTCTCATTCTCTTTCATTGGCCCCTTATTGGCAGAATCTCTGCTATTTCCAAGCATCTTCATTCACTGCCCAGGCCAATTTGGGGCTCAAAAACAACAGTGAGATTTATACAGACTTTTTTACACTGTGCACATGACAACTCCCCAGGAAGGCAACTACTCCACCTCCCATCTACCAGATAGGAAAATACTGGTGACTTGCTTCCCACCTCTGATTCCCAGAGCCTGGAACCAGCAATCCACTTCTCATGGGAAGCAAGTAAACTGTTTGCAAATATATTTCATGCTAATTTCAGCCACTGATCAGCACTAATGCTGCAGACTTGGCACCCTCCCACCCTCAGTATGTTGAAATAGTGTGTGCATATTTGATTTCTTCCACTTTTAAAAACCCAGCAGGACTCAGGCATGATTTATTGAAAATTTGGAAAGGAAAAGTAGACATGGATTTTTAAAATCACCATTATCTGCCATATGGATAGGCAGAAGACATGAGAAAATGCAAAGCATGGAAGCAAATCCCTGCCCCAATCTCAGACAAAAACACAGCTGAACATTGTGCAGGCAAAGCCACTGCCCTGAAGCCATAGTTTCTCTTATACTATTACCATAATAGATTGTAAAATATGTAGGGAGGAACCTTGTGGGAAAGATGCTCAGCTGCAAGACTTACTACCTGTAGAATTTAAGACATACCCTTGGAATATTTAAACTGTTTTCAGGGATCTCATTCTTGACCAAGGCTGGTAAGTGAGATGCTCTTGGTTTTCAGAGAAAAGTGAATGGTTCTGAGAGAAAAACGAATTCAGGTACCACCCTGCTGTGGTACCTTGCTACTGTCAGGGAAGGGGCTAACACAAAAACACCTGGGAGCTCACAGTGGCTCTGACTGATGTGAGAATGTAGAAACTCTCCTTTTCGGCCCACTCCCCTCGCAACGGCCTGCAGCCAGCCAGCAAAGGCAACACACTGACATACTGTCCTGGGAACACAGGCAAGGGATCACAAATGCTGTCCAAGGTCTGTGAGCACTTCTACACTGCACAACATATCAAGTGTTATGTGGCCACACTATCATCTGCTGTTGTACACCCTGTCTATACCAAAAGTCTCACAAAAGACTTTTCTGTCATGCTCTGGTCCTGCCGTGGAAAGTCTGTAAATCCACCAGCTCTGCAGGAAGTTTTACAGGCGTGGCTGGGAGGAGAGGTCTCAGACTAAAAGAAAACACAAGAGCACAGAAAGCAATAAAGCCACGGTTTGCTTAGAGGGCCAAGATGCGCTTCTGAATCAGCCGGCTTTAGTGCAAGTGTGAGGCCGGGCAGGAAGGTCAGTTGTGACTGTGAGGGACCCTAAGCCCCAGTGCCGCACCAGCGTGGCACAGCGAACGGCGTTTACTTTACAGAGAAACGGAGCTCCACAACGCTCTCCCAAACGCTTTCCAGCAGCAGCGTTTCAGCCCTGAGGCAAAAGCTGCTCTGGGCAGCCCGGGCCGCCACTCACCTGCGCCGGCCCCGCGCCGCTCCCGGCCCCGCCGCCCTCCGCGGGCGGCGCTTCCGCCCGGCCGCCGTCACTTCCGCCGCGGCAGCTGGCGCTGCTGCCCGCGGGGCGTTCGAGTGCATCGAGCGAGTGCTCCGGGCGGCTTTTGACGCCTCAGGCACGGCCCCGGTGCCCGGCACTGTGGCTACGGCTGCCCGCTGCTTCCGCCCGGCCCGCGGCTCCCGCAGGGACATGCCGCCGCCCGGCCGCGGCTGTGGGCTCGGCTGTGCTTGTGCGGCCCGGGCAGCGCCGCCGGGCTTCTCCCGCCCCAGAGTCCGGCCTCCTGCACCACAGCCAGGGTCTGCACACAGAAACATCGGTGCCCGCGCAGGAGCTGAGCCTTGGCTTTAGCGCAGCCCGAGAGCCGAGGTGTTCGGGAGAGCAGATGCAGAAAGCTCTGTGAACGTGGCTGGCATTCATTATTCGTGACCCCAGTGCTTCGTTTCCTATGGCAGTGAGTCCTTCCCAAACAGTGAGCCCACCTGCTCCAGCCCAAGCCCCAGAGAGGATCTGTGCCTGCTCTTATGCTCAGAGAATTCACTTCCCCGGTGAAAACGGTGAAAGTTGACCAAACACTAAAATCAATAACCAACATTAAAATCAAAGCTCCAGCAAGTTCTGACAGCTCTCTCATAGTTTCTAATAAAGCTTGGCACGTATTACAAACAATCAGTCTTGGTTTTTATCCCTTCAGAAATCTGTCATACTAAAGCAAAATCACAATCAGGAGCAAGTTTTATCCATTATGGTCACTGTAAGCACTTTTATCTATGGAAACAAAGGTAATCCTTCATCCTGTCAGCAGGCAGCCAATCTTAACTATATTGTCAGGGAAACGAGACTGTGATTAATTCATAAAAATTGGAATGAAGATTACAGGTTTTTTAATGCTAGGCAGCAAACATCTCCCTCAGCTTCATGTCTTCTGATGAACAACCATGTTCCTGACATGGTAAAGTTGGCAACTGCACTATTTTAGCTTGTTGAACTCTCCTTGAAGTAGGAATCCACCTGAAGATGTCCCATTAGGTGTACTAGATAACCAAGAGTGACCGTGATTCTAACCTTATGGTCAGACACATGATTCTGGCAGAGATGGTTAAGCAGTTAGTGCTGTTACATTTGGTGTGCTTATAGATGCTTCTACCAGGAGAAATAAATAGATCTGCTTTTAATTACATTTTGGAGATTTGCAGAAGGGAGCCTCGAGAGTGTTTGGAGTGCTTCTCCGGTGCTGCCCTGCCAGACTGCAGTTCATCAGCTGGGGGAGCCCTGCTTTGTGCTCCCTGAAGCAAAAGAAATCATATTAAAGTCAAACCTAGTGCAGGAATAGCAATGCCTGCTGAGAAATGGAGTGTCAAATGCTCCGTTTCACTGAAAATAACTGCTACCCTACCACCACCATCTGCCACTTAATATTGTTGTGCCCAATTTATGCTGGTTTGGGATGCAAGAAACACTTTGAAATAATTGTGCAGGTTTCTTGCAGTTAAACTTCAAGAGCAGCAGCTTCTCATCCTTTTTCTGTGGAACCACCCACCATCCTGATGGCTCCAGGACTCTGTTATTACCACAGGTCTGGCTGATTGAAGTGAGGAGTTCAAGGTGTCCTTTGGCTCCTAGTTGCCTTTTGTAATCATTGCTTCTGGGGCACTGAAGGTCAGGTGGGGCTGCTCCAAAATCTATTGAAATCAACAGATTGTGCCTTTGATTGAAGCAAAATGAGAAATCAAGGTTTTAGATTTTGCACTGCTCATCTTCAGGCCACGCATGAGAGCACCACTGGGTTCACAGAAGGGTGGGGCAGATGCAGTGCTGCCAGTAGAAGACTTCTCCCTCCCCCTCTGAGGCTTTCCTGGGGCTGAACTTGGGAATGGTTTCCCGTGCACCCCAGGTGCACAGTCCAGTTCTCCCAGCTGGACACTAAGGCAGGGAGGCCGTGGCACTGCTTGCCTTGGAATGTGTTTGGGTGAAGCGTTGGAGCTGTTTATGCTGTCTGACAACTGCTTATGGTTCTGGTTCAAGACAGCCATGAGCATTTTCCCTCCCTGACTCCTCTCTCTGGCTGCACGGCTTCTGTGGCCACACACACAGAGTCTCTTAGCATGCAGGTGAATGAGGAAACAATCCTTTTTGCCAGAAAGACATACAAATAGAATATATTTGATTTTAATTACTGCAAGGCATGAATGCTTCCCATCAAAGCTGTCAGAGTTGTATGTATCTTTCCTTCATTCCATTAATTATTTACCTTCAGTTTTAATAATACAGTTAAGGGCACTATATATAGCTTCTGCTCTATCAATAAATCATGCTTGTGTGTCTTCATATTTATCCTAGAAAATCATAAGTACCAACATGCTTCCATGGTTTTGCTAAGCAATTCTGGCAACGGAATTCCCATCAGTGCATGTCTTGGAGTCTTTGGTGGTGAACTCAAATATTCCTCACTCAATGAGAGCTATTTTATAATATTTTAAAAGATTGTCAGTCTTCTCACAAGCCTTGAAAATCTCTCTCATCCCTTCTTATACCTTGCCAAAAGTCAGTTTCACATGACTTTCTAAAACATGGTTTTGGTCTTCCAGAGCAGAGAGAGGCAGGAGAGCCTACAGCTGAATGCTTTCTCATTGGATCATAACAGGGAAGGGATCAGAACTACAAAAACAATATGGCAGTGCCCTTGGTGGGATTAGAAAAGTAAATCTGCAGATGTAGCAGTATTATCTATGTTGCAGAGATGACAAATATTAAGATGAGTTTTTTAAGAGAAGGTGACCATGGAAGCAGATAATTCTTGTGCCAAGACGGAAACTGGAGTTGGGAACATAGCAGCTGGAGAGCAGCATTGTGGGCAGCACGCAGGTCTGCTGGTGAATGGAAAACAAATTATCATAAGGGATCAGTCCAAGATATAAATCTTACTTTTGTTAGCTTTTTTTAAAGCTGATGTACTTTTGGGGTGCAACCATGGCATTCCATGACAGCAACACCCCACTGAGTAAAGGGCATCCCTGGGGCTAGGTGAAGCAGGGATATTTTAAATCAAATCTCTGCTTTTTCACCAATAAAAACTACACATGCATACTCAATGTGAAGTGATTTAACTGTGTGGAAGGATTGTGTATTTTAAAAACCCAAAACTGCAGAGTATTTACTCATCCCTAGTAATGCATCTGTTGACATTATGTTGTCTTTTGACAGTTAGCATGGGATTTCCTCTTTATTGTTTTTTTTCATCAGTTGTTTCTATAGAAATGCCATTTTTATCAGACTAGATGAAAATATCCTGAAATAACACACCTCTTCAGCAAATACTGATATTTCCTGCTCAGTCTATATATTGAATCCCTATCATACTGAGTTTTCCTTTCCTCATTACAACATCCACATGAAAACCAGTTAAAAGCAAGTCACTGTACAGCTGGTACTCCAGAGAACAGACTCCTCTGGAAATTGGAATGGGCAGTCAAGCAAATGTATTTCTCAAGTCAGGTCGTTCAGACACTGCCTCTGAAGTGTGTTGCAGGTGAAATCCATGTTTGCACAGATGGTGAATATGTTGTCATTGACTGTCACTGCTTCACAGAAGGCTTAAATGAAAATGGTCTTGAGCTGACCCTGCCTGACAATGCCCTCTGCCCCTGCTGTCAGTGAGGAAAACATTTCTGAAATCCAGCTTCTCTGGGCTGAGGACAGTGTCTCCCTTGGCTCCTGCTGTGGGATCTATCTGACAAAATCTGAGTGATGTAGTCAGTGCATTCAAATCCACTGTCATAGACTTTAAAGGAAGCCTGTCAAAGTGCCTAAGCCTGAGATTTCAAGCAACTTGAGACAGTTTAAAGTACTGGATATGCTCACATGATTATTTCCATGGCAAATCACCTGAAGAACTTCCTGTTTTATTGGCATTAGAATTTGTTCCTTTCTTCTTTTCCAGTTATTTACTGTTGTATCATGGGGAAAACCTTATACCTTTTCACCTGAACAGGATGAGAGTGATGTGTACCTGCTTTATCCAAAATCCATCTGTACTACTTAACATATGTACTGAAAGGAGTGCCAGGGGAAGCTCATCTCTCCCAGGCTTTAACTCTCACACCTTGGGAACAGAAAGCATGGCCTGTGCAATGCTCTTGCTTTAGGAAGAGACTTTTATGAGGGCAGGTAATGATAGACAAGGTGAAATGGCTTTAAACTGACAGGAGACAAGTTTAGATTAGATATCAGGAAAAAAATATTCACTATGAGAATGGTGAGACACTGGAACAGGTTGGCCAGAGAAGCTGTGAATGCCCCATCTCTGCAAATGTTCAAGGCCAGCTTGGATGAGGCTTTGAACAACCTGCTCTTGTGGAAGGTGTCCCTGCCCATGGCAGGGTGGGTAGAACTAGGTGATCTTTAAAGGCCCTTCCAGCCCAAAGCCTACAATGATTCTGTGACTATTCAATGCAGATGCCTGCACAGCAGCTGTTCCTACTGCCAGTGGACCCAAGCTCAACTCTAAATAGCTGTGCTAGTGCAGCTAGATCTGCCAAGAGTTTTTAACAGTGATGATCACGATGTCCTGATGATTTAAGTGATCTGGCAGAACTAACTGCAGTCACACAGAGCTGGGTTTTCACCTTCATTTTTGGAAATGTAAAGGGCTGTGATGGGTAACTGCACCTCATCTTCTTAAGTACTTTTCCATGAGTCTTTATTAGGCCAGAGCAGGTTTCCCATTTCCTTGGGAGTGATGTGAAAAGCTGTGAGTTCCCAGAGGAGCATGCCAGTGGCATGCATTTCTGCTTCTCACGTGGCGACACACTGCTTCACACAGCTAGGGAGAGACAAACAGCCTAATGAGGAACAAAAGGACAGCCCAGCAAAGTGGAAGAGATACCTGTAAGAGAGGTATTCTAAGGAAGCCAGCAGAACTCTATTGTTATCACATGAAATATCTAGTGCGTAGTGGTGGCTCTGATACATAGTGCTGCATCACTTTAAAATTCTCTTGCCACCATATAAATAGAAGGAA